AATATATATATTTATATTTTAAATTATGGAATATAAAATAAAGTTATGTGATATTTTAGATACTTACTTGTAGGACTAGTTGGACTTTCAACAGTATTAGATGATGAATTACTAGATTGTTTTTGTACGAGGGATAACTCCTGAGAATTTCCAATACTTTCTACGGTCTTTTCAAGATTTATATAGTTATTTGTGTCGGCAATCTTGAAAGTATAATCCTTGGGATCTAATTTACGTTTACGGCAAACCATTTCAAGAACGTCGTAAAAATGCATATCAGCTGACACATTTATGGTTGTAGTGTGTGCAACCTCTGAATTAGGTGTAAGCCTAATTCTTAAGAAGATTTGATTTGTTAAGTCAATAGCAGATACTGCAGCCGATGCACTTGAGGGAGCTGTCGTGGTTGAAGAAGCTGCATGAACGATAGTTCCGTTCGACTTTAAAGATGTATTTGACAATGATTCTTTGGTAGGTGGTCTTGATTTAGCGGAAACTGCTTCATTTTGCTTTACTATATTGATAATATAGTGAGTAAATTCTAGATTTCTAAATATGAAAATTGAAAGAATAAAAAATAGATATCCAACCTTGATTAGGATTAGCTTTACATAATGCAAACTGATCAGTGGCGAATTTAGATATTTTCCGTGTTCTATCGGGAACTTATAATAAAAGGTAATTTCAATCATGAATATATAAGTTTTGTTCATAAAAATATTTTTAAGATGGTAAAAAATTTATAAATACCAGGAAAATCATAATCTATTTCACCATCATCTTCTACTATTCTCATAGTCCATTGTAAAACATCACATAACTTTGATTCCAATGCAGGTTCTCTTTTCTCATCCCAATACTGATATAAAGTATATCCAATTACTTCTTCAACTGAAGCATCACTTTTGACCACCACCACAAGTGGTTGTAAAGGTTTATTGCTAAACGGAAGAAATATTTTCAATGTTAATGGTTTAAGGTCTCCTTTTCCAGCAAAAAAACTGTATTCTTCTACAAATGGATTATCCAATTTACTCTTCTTTTCTGCAATTAGTGCTGTTAATGCAGAAAATGGCTTTGGTTTTGGAATAATTTTTGGTGAATCTGGTAAAAATTTTCTTTCTTCCGTTGCAGATAATGAAGGTCTCGGAGGCGGGCTAGACGGTATTTCTGTACCATCTGTTGTTAATAATGATGCTTCCGAGCCCCTCCTTTCAGCAGCAAGAACTCGGTCACTTTCGGCTGATGTAGTCGGTGATAATTGTGGCGTTTGCTCAGTAGATGAAATTCCAAGTATACTATCCGGTGAAGTTTTCAATGCATCACCACTAGGCGAAAATGATTGAGCTACTAAACTTGGACGTGAAGTTGGCGGTTTTGAGGGTGAGGTTACAAATACAGGTGGGGGTGTGACAATTTGCTTGGGTAAACGTAGTTTGGTAAACAAAGGTTGTTTACTATAAAATTAATTTTGAAATTCGTTATAGTTATTTTTTGTTTGTCAAATAAATGTGTATATATTTATATTTATAAATATTTTAAAATAAATAAATGTATATATTTATTTATTTATTTATTTTAAAGAAGTAGTACTGTCTGTCTATCATCGGTAATCTTATAATAATCACGTTATTAATAATCTGTCCAAGCTTACCTATTATCTTCGTCGTCAACATCGATATCTTCATCACTATCACCATTTTCGTTGTTAAAACTTGAATCTTCCTTGGCAACTTGCGTTAAATTTATGTCCATATTCCTATTTGAGTGATTCATTGTTCTATGCCGATCCCCAGATATTGGTGAACCAGCGACACCACACATTATACTCTTGCTATTAAAATAATCATTTCCCGACATACAAATGTTCGGAGAATGGCAAGCTAACATCTCTGGATAGGAAGATGCAGCAGTCTTAATATAATCATTTGAAAGAACGGTAGGGTTGAAAGTTATAACGCGTTCGCCAAAACGATCTCCAACACGACGGAGATAACCTATACGGAGTTGGTGAATAATATAACTTTGAAATGACTGGAAACATTAATAAGTGGTGCTTTAAGAAGATAAACCGATCATTACGCTGGCAAATAATCTCACTCACTCTGGATCATTCAGCAGAGACATTGAAAAAAGATTGTACCAAGGCAAACAATTTTTACGTTTGCTCTTCACGGTTGCATGGGCAATTAATTAGACAAGTTGTTTTTTTAAGTCGAAAGCTTATTTATTAATATCTTAAATTTTATTGAATGAAATTTGGTATTCGGGTAAATTATCCCGATTAGTCGGTATTTATCCACATACCCAAGAATTCGGGTACTTTCTCAGGTGCAGATCATGAGATTTTCAGATGATTAGTAATTTTTTTTTTGTAATCCATTTTCGTTAATAAACTTTATTCAACTCGTCATTCAGGGTTTTTGATAATCATTCCTGATCAAGGTAAATGGCCATATGGCGATTTTAAGGTTCTGCTTCCCTGACTTTTAACAAATCAAGATTTTTCAGTGAAGTGAGCGACTTGAATATTCTGATTTATCACTAAATATTCTCATCTGAAAATAATTAATTGTATGTATAATTTGATTGTGTTTAATGATATTTTGAATGGGCGAGCTCAAATTTTACCAGATAATTTAAAGGAATTTGAATGTAAATTAGGAAAGGACAATATTATTAACAGATAATGAAATGATATTTCTAGTAATGAGTACAAATACAAAGAGTGGATAAATGTAATTTATGAGTTTGACAATTTCTAGTAACTGATGACTTCGAGTATTTCATTGTCTTGATAACTATAAGATTAATACGAACCAAATTTTTAATTCAACGAGATGTTCAAGAGGATTCTTGATTGAATCCAGTTATTCATGCAAAGTGGCATTTTGGGCTTTGTGATCATGTGAAAAATAGTAGAATAAATATGAGCCACATAACCTTTTTGCAACTTTTTTTCCATTGCCAATTATGATAAAGAAAAATTGCCAACTAGAAAATATTTGCTTGCAATCGTTAAGTGATTCTCAAAAAACACGTGAACCATAATGATGGCATAAGTGACAGATTATAAATAATTTCTCCCTTGTAACAATATTATTACTTTTGTGATATGACGTCAAATGTTCACCTTTGCGAATGAATTATTACGTAACTTTGAGATGAAAATTGAATAATCAACTAACGTTATACAAACGTAGATGATAAAACGCGAAAATTTTCGATTGGTTATTCAATTTTCCGTAACCCCCGGATCTCGTTTGATGACGATCGAAATTTTTTACATAATATATATATATATATGTGGATGATTTCTCAACATCACAATGGTCATTGATTATATAATTAATTCCGATCTTTTTCCAGTAAACATTTCTGTTTTTTTCCTCACCGTCTCTGTTTAATCATACCTGAAAATTTTAATATTATTATTATTGATATTATTATTATTATTAAAACATTCAATATGGTTGGAATTGACGGTTATGAAGCAACACTCAAGATTCTTCTCATTGGTAACTCAAATGTTGGAAAATCCTCATTACTTTTGCGTTTTACCGAGGACACATTCTTGCCACAGGATGAAGTCGCAGCTACAATTGGTAAAGCTAGCAACCTCTTGGACGACCTTTCTTAAAACAATTATTGTAGAATCATAAGCTTGAAACTGTTTTCGTTCATTAATAATTCGAAAATACCTTTTTGACCGTTTCTAATACATTTTATTATTCTTTTATATTATTTTTTTTTTCAGGAGTAGATTTTAAAGTTCAAGACATGATGTTTGAAGGAAAAAAATACAAATTGACCATTTGGGTACTCACCTTTCACTTATGATATATCATATTTATTTTATCAATTAATAAAATTTCTAAAAATTAACTAATACAGGATACCGCAGGTCAAGAACGGTTCCGAACGTTAACATCATCTTATTATCGTGGTGCTCAAGGCGTCATTCTTGGTATTTGCCCTTTCCTCATTCGATTTCTCGAATTCAACTTTTAACATGTAAAGGCCTTTTATTTTTTACTCGTGTTCTTTACAACAGTTTATGATGTGAGCAATCGTGAAACTTTCGATCAGCTTGACAACTGGTTTAGCGAATTGGGCACTTATTGCACAAATAGAGATGTTGTGAAAATGATAGTTGGAAATAAAGTTGATAAAGTATGTGTTAACTCTTTTTTTTTCCAATCCTTATAATTATTAACTAATGATGTTCTGTTGATAATAAAGGAAGGACAACGTGTGATTTCGCGCAAGGAAGCTGAGGCATACGCAAGAAAATCTCACACATTATTTCTAGAGTGTAGTGCCAAGACTAGATATGGGGTCAAGGAAGCTTTTGAAGAACTTGTTAGAAAGGTAAAGGGTCACACCGAATATTTTCTTTCTTTTCGTCTCATTATACCACAATATGATCTTAAATATATATATATGTACACCTTATAGATTCTCGAAACACCAAGTTTATGGCAGAAAAGGTCTTTACCCAACAATAATATTAGTGTGACACGCCAAACGGATTTTAAACCGGATGAAGAAGCTTGTAATTGTTAAATTATTATGTTGTGGCTTAGTTCTTTAAACAATACGAACAAGGTCAGATCCGTTGTTGGAAACAGCTGATAATTATAGGTTAAGACGGGCACGAGCAGATAATGCTGTTTGCCTCCACCAATTTTCAACATGGGTATGTTGAGTTTTCAAGCGACAATATGATATTTAATATTTAACTTCATTTGTTAATAAGAAAGAACATTACATATTTTTTTAATTGTATTTAATTTAGTAAATGTTCAATTGACTTTTTTTTTGCATTTTCCATCTGCCATTTTTATTTCATTTTCTACGTAAATTTTTTTTTTTTAGTTAGAAATAAACATTGATTTAATCTGTATCGTACCTTTGCGTTATTTTGAGAATAACGCATATTAAAGTTTAATTATGAGTAAATTGTAAAGTAAGAAAGCTAATAATAAATTTAATTCCACTTATAATGGTATAATATGACAGCTACAAAAGAAAAAAACCCAAGCAAGAAATCAATATTGAATATTTTCGAAGATGATCTATTTCGTTTAGTTGATTAACATACCCCAAGAGCCCTCTTCCGCCCCATCCGCTTCTTGGCGTTAACTGTAATACCAAAACTTCCTCAGAATTAACTTCTCCGCGTTCAATTGTTACACTAATGGCTTTCTATAAATAGAATTGAACATTAATATTTTTTACTCGATATCTGTTGGAAAAAAAATGTTTATAATGACATACCCCTTCATTATCTATGACCAATGTGTTTAGGGCTTGTAATTTTTGATGATTTCCGACGTGGATTGAACCAAATCGCGTAATCTTATCCCCTTTAAATAATCCCTATTCGTGAAAAAACTTTGAACATGACGCAAATTAATTTAAAAAAAATAATTATACGAGAGTCAGATCGTACTAACTGCTTCTTTTGCTGGTGAATCGGGTGCTACTGCATTTACGACAGCGAAAGGTTCTGGCCGAATTTGACCTTTAAAAATATAAAAATATCAATCAAATTTTCTTTTTTTTTAAAAAAAAAAAAAATTGATAATAATGATAATTATATTTGATTTAACCTGTTGATTTATTTTCCGTTGCAGCTTTATTTGCTTGATTTTCTGCATGCATTGCGTGAAGAGCACTTTCAATCTGCTTCATTATATCTTTATGATCGTTTCGTAATGCTATTCACCAAAAATTACGTATCATTAATTGTAGATACGAAAAAATTTTATTTCGTCAAAATTTTACTTGCAAATGATTCTTGAACGAGCAGTTCTAACGGCAACTAAATCAATATCATCGCGTGGAAATCCTGATTTATCAACTAAAGATTCGACCATTCCAACGCCTTGCTAATGATAAAATTAGAATAATAATTGGTTCATATATATTAATGTTGAACGATTTAGCAAGAAATCATTGTTAAAGCAAAAGAATTAATTATGGTATATTTACTCCCTTTAATACTTGTTCTAATTCTTTCAATTCATTTTCAATGGCGTCTTTCTTTTCTATTAATTTGCGAGCTATTATTTCTGAAGAATTTGTTGCTTCAAAACCCATGGTTTTTGTATTCATGGGTAATTTTTTTTTTATATTTATATATATTTTTTTTCTCTGTAAATTTAATAAAAAAAAAAAAATAATAATAAATTTACAATTTGGTTTTATCAACGTTATTTTTAATTTAAAAAAAAAAAAAGCCTTTTATTAACATATTGCGCTATGGCATTATAGATAGTTTTGGCCGAAATGATCGGCATGGAAACTTGTTCAAGAGTTCTCTCCGGGAAACATTTTTTTTTTTTTTTTATAATCGTCGATGAAAAAACTTGATTTTTAATGATTATGTATAAAATATTATTCTATGGGTTGATTAATACGAGATTTCTATACCTAATTCTTTTCAATTAACTACTTTTACCTGATAATGTTATTAAGCACGGTAATAATCGGGTTTCTTGACATTTATACCATATTCCGAAAGCGCAGCAGCAAGATCCTCCAAGTTGAGGACGGTCTTGTTGCGTTGCTATTAAAAGTTTTTGTAGAAAAAAAAATATTTAACCATATAACCTTCCTTTTGGAGTTAATTATTAAAGAAAACGTCGTGTTTCAAAAATTACCTTTCCAACATTTTTTTTACTTTGTTGGCGAATTTTACAATATTGAAATGCATCTGTTGCAATGTCGGCGACAAATTTTTGAGCGGCTAGTGACATAAGACGCATTCTTTGTAATTATTTTTGTTTTTTTTTAATATAGATTAAAAAAAAAATGTGTAAAAAAAAATAGCTTGATGAATATGATTTGTTGTTTTATAAAATATACCAACACTCGAATATCATCACAAGAGGCTCCAGACCTGGAAAGATAATATTCCGATACGTGGTCAGGAATCTTTATAATAAAATAATGTATTAGAAAATATTAAAAAAAGGCTGGTTTTTTTTTTTGCATTTTAAAGTAAGTGTTGTTTTTTTTCCTTACAAGAGGTTCGAAGTTATTTAATATTGGAAGAAAATCCAATAAAGTAAGATCCTTTCTTATAAATTCTTCCTTTCTTTTAGAAGGTGGTAGATCCAATGACTCTTCTTCACTAGAATCTGTCTCTTCTTCGACTGATTCTGGTAAAGGAGGTTCTTCTTTTACGGATTCTGGTGTTTCAATTTCTTTCCCTTTGCCTTTATCAATGCTATAAGTTTGATCTTCGTTATCAAGTTCGAATTCCATTGACAAATTACTATCTATTGAAGACATTTTTCAAGAAACCAAAAAAGGATGATATTATATGTTAAATATATTAGACTAAGTGTGGGAAGAGCATTTTCAAAATCAAATATGTCAAAACGTCATGCATGCATTGTATTTAATTTAGTTAATGAATTACGTTTGTGCAACTTGCAATTTATTAATTTTTTTTTTTTTTTACGACTATTCGAATTTCAAACTTTTTTTTTTGATAATTTATAAAAATGCGACCAAAACGAACGAAGCAATATAAACGCCTTATGGCGTTATATTCTGCATCGTTTGGTTTTAGAGAACCTTACCAAATACTAGGTTGTTGACTTGTTGACTGAAATCGTTTGATTCGTTTAAAAATAACTTTTTCACAAATTTCTAACATTATTTTCATCATGATAAAAGTTGACGGTGATTTCGTGCAAACTGCCTTACGATACAAAATGGATCTATATAAACAGCTTTGTACAGTAATGCTCGGAAATACAAAGCAAAGTATGTTTTTTTTTGTTCGTTCATTAAGAATAATTAATTATTAACACGATTTTTCTCTCACGACAATAGTGTACACTTCTTGTACATTGGCTGAAATAAAAAAACTTGGCAAGGATGAATTTGGCACAGTTACAGCGTTAAGTAATCTCGAGCGACGAGGATGTATACATCGACATAACCCTGTCTCAAGTGCCGAATGCATTGCATCAATTATAGGTAAAAATTGACTGAACTTTAAAAAGTTCCTTGTTAAAAATATTTTAAAATATTTTTAATAAACTTAATATAGAAACCGATAATCCTAATAATTACTGTGTTGCCACACAAAATGGATCACTTCGTGAACGATTTCGCGTCGTTCCTGGCGTCCCTTTATTGTATATCAATCGATCCGTATTAATTATTGAACCGCCTTCTTACGCCACAATACAAAAAGCCAAACAGGTTCGGTCATATATTTTTTAATTATAAAAATTATAACTTGAAAATTATAACTTCTGATTTTTGTTAAAGGTCGAGAGTGCAAAAACTTACATGTCGGCTGAGGAATTATCTTTTTTAACAAAAACTAATTCTGATACAGCAAAAAGACAAGCTGGAGCAGAGAAACCAAAAAAGAAACGTAAAGGACCGAAACAACCTAATCCTCTGAGTTGTAAGAAGAAAAGGATAAAGGTTGTACCTCAAAGGACTAAAAATGAAATTAAAGTATGAGCTTTTAATTTTTTTTTTTTTTTAAAAAAAAACGATTACTCGTGATCTCTAATTAATCATCTGAGAGACGTACCTTTACGTGTAATCAGGAGCCAACCAACAAAAAGCGAGCGCGTGAGGATGATCATGAAGAACATACTGATTTGAATAAAGAAGTAAATAATGAGGTCGAAAAAACTTCAATAGATGATTATGATCGGCAGAAAAAGAAAAAGAGGAAAAGGAAAAGATCAAAAAAATCGCAAGAATCAGGGAAGGTCGCAAATGCAAACGACAAGAAACAAGAAGTCGACAAGAATGATCAGATAACTAGGAATTATTAAAATGATATTTATTTCAAACCGCGCGAATTACACGCATTTCGAGTAATATTTATTTCTCTATCTCTATTTCTTATAACCGAACCAATTGGATTTATAAATTCTAATAACGATCATTCTGCAAATGAAAAATATTTAAATAGTAAATAAAATGAATTTTGATTTGAATAATTAAATATATATTAAAAAATTTTAACATACCAACTAAAAAAAATTGTTGATGGCCATAAGATCTAAAATTTACCTAATACTTTTTAATTAATTAGCTTTTTATTGTTCACAACTTTATTTACTTGTTTATTTTTCATAAATGAAGTTAAATCTGCTCAACAAATGTGGAATTGCAGATAATTGAGGTCCATAACGTTGCGCGTTATCATACAATTCAAAAAGTGGCACCGCAAGTAACTTCATATTCTTAGGAACAGATAATATTTCTAAATAATTTAAGTCGATTAGAAACTAAAGCTTGAAAACTCATTGAAATCATAAATAAAACAAATCTTTAAAAATAATACTCTGTTCTGGAAGGTGAACTAAAAATATTTTTTTCTGTTCTTTAGGTTTTGTAACATGCGCTGGTATATACGGATACTAAACAAACAATTATGAATTATTAATCGAGTATAATAAAAGAAAAATTTTTTTCTTTATAAATTAAATACCATGAAAGTTTCAAAATTTGGTCGCCACCAAACACTTAGACACTCGCCGATTTGCCAATCCTGATGACTTGAAGTATTATTGCTATTATATGTGCTAGTAACTGGGGCTAACCGCTCGTCCAATCTGGCTTGAAGTCCTTCAATCTCGTCTTCTCCCGGTTTAAGATAATCACCAGGCCTAAAAGAAATAGAATAGGATAAAGAATAATTGTTTCTTTAAAGCATTTAATGAATCACGTGGAAGCTTACAATTTAAAAAAAGAGTTTGCGATTTGTAACATCAGCACATGGGGATGATTATGTTCGTGAACCACAAGCACGCCTTCCACGGTTCTTCGCATGCCAGTCATCTCGTAATCATTTTGTAACCGCTGTAAACGCGCTGCTACTGATGGATCTTCCTCTGGTTGTGCTTCTTTCGTGCCAAACGTATAGTTCACTAAAATAATATTATGAAATATTAGTTTGATAAGAAAACAATTGTTATAAATTCGTGATTCACCTACCTAATGGATAGCTAGGTTGTGAAAGAAAGTATAAGAATTATTAAAAATTAAGTATGAATTATATATTCTAACTAGATCGTTACTTTAATAATAAGAATGAAAACTTACAGAGTTACAGTCGGATTACTAGACATTTCTTCTGTCAAGAAAACTTTACGATTCTGCTTTTTCAACTTGATCTACCTATGCACTATGACATATGTCAAAGATTCAAAATCTCCTGTGTGACAAACAAACCTTAATTTTTTAATTTAGTTCCAGCAAGTCGGAATTAACTTCCTAATTCTGCAACGTGGAAAAATTAGTTTGATTTCCGATCAAATCCTATAGCCAAATTTTCGTTCCGTCTTCGACTAAAAGTTTAGGATTTTCATACAACAATTAAAAAAAAAAAAAACCAAATGCCTCAACCGTTGGAAGTAGCCGAGTATGATGTTATTATACTTGGCACTGGATTTGTCGAATCAATCCTTGCAGGGTATGCAATTTTCTTCAGTGTTTTATATTTATTATTTTTTTCCTTTTCTTATTTTTTCATTTTTATGTGAAACTAATACATGAGACAGAGCTTTGGCAAGAATCGGTAAATCCGTGTTGCATTTGGATGCAAATGAACATTATGGAGGTAGTTGGACCTCGTTTAATTTTCAAGAATTGTTGGATTGGGCTCAGCTTTTGCAAGGTTACCCATTCATATTTATTTAGTCAACAATTTGTTAAAAATTCGTTACCCTTTTGATAACATTGTATTTAATATAGGTCATGTAGAAGAATCAAATGGAAACAGTCAAGAAAGTAATTTATTAATTAAAATATCATTCAAATCTGATATGCTTAATAATCGAATCAAGAATAAATTGGTAATTTGAAATATTAATGCCATTCTTAGCAGATTTTGAAGGCAAGAAAGCCTTACCAACCAACTTGTCCAAAGTGCGACATCAAGCTTATTCAACAATTGAATATGAGATATATGCCAATCTAAAACAAGCTGAAGAAAATGACGGATCCGAATTTGGGGAAGAACAAATTGATGATTCTGCAAAGACTGCTTTAGATTATGACGGTTTGGCGAGATATTTACTCACTTCTGAAGAATACGAACAAAGTGAAGCTATTGCTAAAGTAATAACGGAACAATTCAAATCCAAAATTCTCGATCGAACACGTGAAAATGAGGAGGCTATTGTAATTGAATCTACGCGTCTTGCACAACTTCTTCACCTTCATAAAGACGATGAAAATATATCGGAAGAGACAATACGTCATGTTTCTACAAGTTTATCTAACTTTGAAAGAATTGAAACCCTTGCAACATTGCTTAAAGAGTCAAGGCGATATAATTTGGATTTGGCACCAAAAATAGTGCCGTGTCGTGGTGAATTAATTGAATTATTAATAAGTTCCGGTGTGGGAAGATATTTGGAATTCAAAGCTTTGGATAGGACTTACATATATTCAGATCAAGATAATTATGATAAGGTTTTATTTATAATCAGTTGATCTCATTTTTGCAACTAAATTGGTTAATCATGAAGGATTATACGTTTTAATATCTTATAGGTCCCATGTTCAAAGGAAGATATATTTACAAGTCAAACAGTATCTTTGGTTGATAAAAGAAAATTGATGAGATTTTTAACATTTGCTTTAGATTATACTAATTCTCCAGAAACGTTTGAAGGTTATTTTTTAAAAAAAAAAATTACGTATTGTGTTGATTATGTTTTCAAAATTTAATTAAATGAAATTAATAGGTTATGAAGAAAAGCCTTATGACATATTTCTCAAAGAAAAGTTTCAAATTGATGGTAAATTGTTGTCGGCAGTCTTATATGCAATCGCTCTAGTTCGAACAAAAGTGAATAATGGTTTGTATTATTGTACGATGATAACGCCTTTAAATCAAATTTTTATCACGGTCATCCTCTTCTATCATAACTAATCATTCTCGCTTAATTTTCATTATATGTATAGTAAATACTAGGCAAGGTTTGACTTATACACAAAGATATTTAAAATCCCTGGGTCGATACGGCAATGCTGCTTTTTTGGTGGCCTTATATGGCGCTGGAAATGAAATTGCTCAAGGATTCTGTAGGTAATGTTGTAAATTTCGTAACTTTTTTACGTGATTTTATATCAAATGCTCGAATTACAAAATCTTATTTTTTTACCTATAGGATTTCAGCTGTATTCGGTGGAATATACATGTTAAATCATTCCGTAAGACACCTTTTAATTGACAAGAGTTCAAATAATTTCACTGGACTTATCGATGCGAATGGTCAACAACTTTCTTCCACATTCTTAGTTACAGCTATTGATTACATACCCGAAAATGTATTGCAGGAACATCAAGAGTGGTATGTTACAAATATATATAATGTTTCAAATCATTTTAAGGGATTAATCGATGGTTAAAATCAAATATTGTAGTGATCAAACCTCTCGTGCGATAGTGATCATAGATCAATATATTCACGAGGAAGGCGATGCTACACTAACCATATTTCCACCAGATTCTGTGGGTAATGAATATCCGATAAGTGTTCTCCAATTTTCAGCTGGGACACAAACTTGCCCTGAAGATAAATGTTAGTTAATATAATGAGAAAGTATTTTAATTATAAATTTTATTAATTTTATTAAAATCAATCTATTGTCTCATTTTATAGATGTTTTGTACATGTCCACAAAAGCTTCTGGCAAAAGCGCCAAAGCAGATTTATACAATGCATTGGAGAGATTAGTTAACATTTCAAATAATGGTAAACTAATTAATTATTCAAACTTGGAAAATAAATCATTAATTTGGCTTGTATTTATTATATATTTTGAATACAACAATTGATTTCCATTTCTTTTTTAGATGCTTCATTATCAACTTGCAAACCAAATCCTTTGTTTGCTTTATTTTATCGACACAAATATCGGGATATTACTTCACTTTCATCATCACTGCCCAACAACATCATTGTTACTTGTGATCCTGATTCATCATTGGATTTCGAAGCGGCAACAATTCAAGCAAAGCAACATTTTGAGAAGATGTGTCCAAATGATGAATTTTTGCCTGCTGGGCCGGATCCTGATGAAGAAGATTTCAATGTAGATTAAATATTAATAATACGGGTACAAGATTTTTTCTTTACCCAATTTTTTTCGATGGTACTTAATAAACGTTATGTTAATTCAACATATCTTTACGTTAGTTTAATACCTATTGTATTTTTATTTATTTTAAACTAGTAATTTATAATCAGACAAATTTTCGATTGACAAGATATGATATATGTTAATTTATTGTTTATTTTTATAAAATGTTTTAATACTAAAGTAAATATTGTACAACTTAAAATATATTACAAAAAACTGAAATGATTGCCAACATCATAAAATGTAAATTAAAAAACTTGTGTGGCTTTTGATATAACTCATTCTTCACTCCTAAAATTCTTAAAATGTGTAATTATACATGAAGTTTATTCCACATTTTCATTTGAGGTATCTACTTCTTGTTGTGGAGGTTGAGTTGAAGATATTTGTGACTGAGCTGAATAAGCGGGCACAGGTGGAATTTTTGGAAAATTCCTACGATTAACCATCAAACTTTTCAAACTACGAATTTCACTTCTGATTTGCGAAACAGGTGAATCACGGTCGTTTGGTGGTGACCGAGAATATGAATAAACATTCGACGAAAGGTACGCCGCTAGAGATGTCAACGAGAGTTGTAGATCTGATATTGCATCAGGCTTTGATAATGTTTGTTGATGGATACTTAACCTTTCAGTTAATTCAGATAAATCAGTAGCAAGAGGAGCAAGCAAAGCGGGTGGTGTAGAAATTTCATCTATTTCATATGGTGTAGGCAATTCATCATCATCATCATCATCATCATCGTCATCAGTAAAATTTCTTCGCTCAACAGGTTTACTACGCGATGTTGATTTATTTAAAGATAAAAATGTCGAAAGACTTTCATTAAACCTTCTAAAAAGATTAACTTGATGAGAATGTAATTGCTGCTTTGCAAAAATGATAGCCGTAACTGCGGGACCAAGAAATGTCTAATTAAATAATAAAATTAGTATTTAAAGATCGTAAATAATAATATACAAAAAAAAAAAGATCTTCATATACCTTGATCATAGCGATCATTGCGGCACTAAAAGCACCTGTAATCAGTAAAATAAATATTAAGCGTTTCCATAATGGAGTTCTTGCCACTACCATTTGATGATATGTGCGTGGTGGAACAGGTGGAGCTAATGGTTCCTATGATATTTAAAGACATAGTTTAACTGTTTACGAAATTAAACGAAAAAATTTCAAGTTAATTATCCACTACTTACCTCTTTATTTACCCTATCTTTGGCAATATCAATTTCAGCTTGCGTCAAACCTTTACTAAACAAAAATTTGAGCTTTTTGTCCTCGTCCGAATTACGAACTATTGGGCTAGATAAGAATGTGATTGCTTGTAATATCATATTTTCTCTTGGTTCAAGCTGTTGTGTAGCATTGGTATTTTCAACAGTAGCACTACCTCCTACATTCGATATTCTTAACCTTGCTTCTGCGGATCGTTGACGAGCTTCCTTTTGTTTTTCAATTAGCTCTTTCCTTTTTCTTTCCCTTTGTTCCGGTGTTAATTTTGGTTGACCCAATATTTCACGAACTTTATCGTTATTATTTGCTTCTATATTAGTAGAACCCGCGCTCCTGTCGGAATCCTTACCTTGCGCAGTTCCTATGTTTATCGCATTTTGCTTAATACTTCCATTTTCAGTAGCTAAGTTACTCGCGTTTTGATCTTCGGTTTCCTTCATTACAGAAGTAATTAAAAATTCGTAGGAATTTTTTGAACGTGTAAATTTAGTCGATCACTATATTGTTACACGATCGTTGGACGAGATCATAAGGCTATAAATATCAATTATCTAACAAATTATCAAATAGTAACGTAAGTAAAGACTATATTAAACTATTCGAAACCTATTTAAAAATTTAGAAACTTTTTCAAAACCTTTAAAATGACTTTTTGTTAAATCTGAAATTAATTGAGTTTAGGAACTCAAAATATCTCGAAACTCAAATTTTCTAAAAATAATTTAGGAAGGCATCATTAGTATTAACTAAAGATGGGAACTGTAATTAATATGTTGCAACTTTTAATGTTGCAACTTACGTTGCAATTAGTTTTAACCT